GATGGAGGGAGACAGCCAGAGTGAGTGATTAAGAGTTCTGAAAAATGGACTGAAATGTTGGAGAAAAAAAAGACGAAGTTATGAAATAATAAGTATGGGAGAGAAAAAAACCTGTGTGTGTGTGTGTGTGTGTGTGTGTGTGTGTGTGTGTGTGTGTGTGTGTGTGTGTGTGTGTGTGTGTGTGTGTGTGTGTGTGTGTGTGTGTGTGTGTGTGTGTGTGTGTGTGGTGTGTGTGTGTGTGTGTGTGTGTGTGTGTGTGTGTGTGTGTGTGTGTGTGTGTGTGTGTGTGTGTGGTGTGTGTGTGTGTGTGTGTGTGTGTGTGTGTGTGTGTGTGTGTGTGTGTGTGTGTGTGTGTGTGTGTGTGTGTGTGTGTGTGTGTGTGTGTGTGCAGAGACAGACCGCCAGTGGGTCAGAGGGCTAGCGTGGCTCCATGTGTTGCTTATAAGCGGATAAAAGACAAACGAAGCTCGGGAAGTACACCCCTCTGCCTACTCTCTGTGAGTGTGTGTGTGTGTGTGTGTGTGAGAGTTGTATTCAGGGTCAGAGGCAGGAAGAACGTTTGCTCGGGACCCAAGAGAAATGTGGTTTGAAACTAGTGTTGAGAAAATGGTTAACAGATTGAGATAGCAGGCTCAGGTAGAACAGACCTGTACACCCACGCAATGGAACAGAAGTAAAGACTTTACTGATGTCAGCCCAGCTATCCTTTGCATTTTCTCTGTATTATTTAAAATATGTTCAATTAGCGGACGCTGGTTCCCTCATTTTGCTCATCCAATTTGAATTTGCCACAACCTCTGTTAATCAATCACCTTTAATATGTTCTGATCTGCTGTCATCTGTCACTTTAGTTTGATTGACATGTCGTCATCCGTCCATCAGGAAACTCTGATCTTCATCTGAAGGCTCAATGTGTCTCATGCAGGAAGCAATCTACCATTGGTTCTTATTTTGTTAGTTCCCATCGATTTCTGGGATTCACCATCCTTGTTTACACTTTTGCTCTTTTTCTAAGGTTATTAAGAAAACCCTAACTCTTAGGTAACACTAATTGAGAGAAGGTTGTTTTCACAATCCACACACTTTGTCTAGCACAAGGAAACATACGTTTTACATTTGATGAACACAGAACAATTCATGAATATCCTTTAATCATATTTTTAAATGATTATATAATAATTATTATAATGGTGGGATCATTAAATGTGTGGGCCAAGTTTCCCTATGAAGACTACATTGATATAGCATGAGTTGCAACTCCTAAATGGCTTTCATGGATGCTTTTTGACGTTCATGCATTGCTCTCTGTACTTAATTAGATGTTATTCTAAAGTTTTCTTCTTTTCTTCTTACGGCCTTTTTGGCGGCATTTCTCCAACTCTTTGGCATGTGCCAGAGTATTTTGTACACAGCACAACACCTTCAAGTGGCCTTACCTATGCCAATAACATGCACCACACACCTCACGCCTCCACTTTACGATCTAGTGGGATTTATCTTTCCACACACCAGGGAAAAATGGAGAGTAAATATAAGACAACTTTAAGAGTTTCTGCATGAGGCCCAATGTTCTTTAGTCGTCTCGTCTCCATCAGGGAATGCTCCCATGTGGCCCACGGAGCGACTCCCTCCAAGAGTAGTAGCTACTTTATAATGGACTCTATTGGCATGGCAATATCAAATGCATCTATGTTATTAATAACTTTTCAATCATGTTGCTGATTGAAGTCAATGCTCAATGGACCGTAGATGAAATTCAGTTATGATTGTATGATTGTACATGTGTGCACACCGCCAGCCATTCCACCCTCTAAGCATCCATCCATCCATATGTCCAAGCAGGAGCGTGCATATTTTAGCTTTAGTCTTTTACAAAGGATTTATCATAGTCAGGAGACCAACCACCTCCCCCCCACCCTTCCACCTCCCTCCATCCTTATCCCACATAAACAGCCGTGGGACTTTAAACATGGCGCCCGGCCGGCGTGTGACTGAGAGAATGGGCCAACTGGTGGCTTCAGTGGCCAGGGGTCGCCCCCGCCCCTCTCCTCTCCCTGGCTGGGTGGGTGGCATATGGCGGCCCAGGCAGGGACCCCTTTGGTGTGACACACACAAACACACACACTGAGAGACACACAGAAGGCCTGGAGCCACCCAGGCTGGGCCCACGATCGCCGTGGGAGACATGGTGTCACCAAGCCTCTGACAGAGGAGGGGTGTGTGTATGTTTGTGTGTGTGATCCCACCTTGGAAGCCCCCCCCCTCCTGAGAACGTTGGCCGCTGCCCGCCACCACATCCCCATGGTGACTCCGCTGTTGTCTCTGCTCATCAAAATTAGAGAGATTTACCTCTGCGTGCACACACAACACATGCACACTCACAGAGCCAACAGGTGGCAGGCCTTGCCCGGCACAGCAGGCCCACTTCAAAGGTTAAACATACAGCGGACCGCCCACTCTTTCTCTGCCAATATCCCAAGGGAGAGCGTGAGGGAGAAAGTGAGAAGAAGAGGACAAGATAAAAGGGGAGACAGAAGAAAAAAAGGGTGTGTAAATAAGAGGGAGATAAAGGTCATTGGGAGCACGTTCATGTGGGAACACGCAGTATGGTTAGTATATACCTGGCGTCCACAGTTTGTCGCGACTCCCCAATTACGCACACTTCAAAGTGAGTCATGTAGGAATTGAAAGCATACGTTAACACAGAATGCCTTTAGGGTTTTCCACTTCACTTACTTCTCCGCGAACTGTGACTAACAGCAGATGGGAAACAACCAAACCTGGGTACAAGCGATCTTAGTGCAGACTTATCCATCACTCTTTCTGCTCTGGGAGTTTGCTTCATGCATCACACACGGATGAGAGAGGTCACAAGAGCATTGTGTGACTCACTCAAAGCTAAGGACAGATAAATATCACCTCGGAGCAACAGTGACCTCTCAGCACACCGAGCCTATCAAGAGGAGGAAATTGACAGTGGATTACGAAAAATGGATGACTCAACAGAGGGGACATAGTGTCTCTACATGGTGTACAACTGGAGTAAACAATAGAGACCAAGGCTTTATCCTGTCTGGTATCAGTTGTGCTGTCTGCTGCCTATGGTGCTACAGACCTATTCATGTTTTATCAGCACTTATGAGTGTACTTGTTGATCAAAATAACAGAATTACTGAATCAGATACATTGCTTCCAGACGAGTCTACCACTTTCCAAAAGCACATCTGGTAGGATAATCCATCCGCATCTCACTCTACAGACCCTTTGGGGGGAAAAGTAAAAGGATGTTTTTAGCAAATGCATACCACTGCAACATTAAAACACACCTGATACATCCCTCAATAAAATCCCATCCATAAAATATGACGCAAAAGAGCCCCGAGAGTCGCTCTGATTGTCTCCTTGGCTATAAAACCACTCGAGATCTCCGCACAGGATGCATGCATACGTTTTAATACGCGAGCATGAGTGTGTGTATGTGTGCATTTGTTGTGTTGCCATGCCAACTTAGTGTGCGTGAGGGGTCACAGTGTTGGCGTGACCTTGTGTTGCCTGTAAGCTGATAAGAGCCAAACAGAGGGGACGGCTATATGAATTCTAGTAATACTGCCCACCCCCCTCTCTCCCTCTCTCTCTCCCCCACTCTCTCTCTCTGTCTCTCTCTCCACGTCCAGCAGCCTGCCTGCTTCCAGCCTGTCTGGTGCCAAGACTCAGATTTCAGAATTTCCTTCTACAAGCCACATTTAGAGCAGCCAGTGTAGTGTGTGTGTGTGTGTGTGTGTGTGTGTGTGTGTGTGTGTGGAACTTTCTCCTCTCACTGTTTGCCTCTCTGACCCCCACCACCCTGGTTTCAGCGAGCACTGTCCTTCTGGTGCCGCTCTTTGCCTTTTCTCCCTCTCTTTATCTACCTCTACCTCCAGTTCTTTGTTTTTTTTGTGGGACTTGACCTGCGCCGACAACCAGTGCAATACATGTCAACTAATATAAATGGTAATTTGTGCCCATGAGTAATAAACCCGATTAGACACACTAACATGCGGCACAGATTTATGTGTTCTCATGGCAGTAAAATCGCCACTGCTGAGAAGTTTGGAAATAGGGGGGGGGGGGTCCTGTCAGCTGGCCGTAGAGATGTTGTGACATAGTGTGATGGGATGGCAAAGGATGGAGTCGGGGGGTGAGGTGGAGCAGATGAAAGGGCTGAAACAGAAAGATGGTGGAAGAAAAGAATACTGATAAAAGACTGAGTTTCTCTCACACACTCTCCCCCCCCTGCCGGAAACGCTTCCATTGGACCTCTTTATGGACTTCCGTAACATTGTGACATTACTACGTAACACTCGTTCCTCTATTGGCTAGCAGTCCAACACATTGTACGCACTAGGCTAAAGGGCGGGACATCTCTAAGCGGTGGACCAATCACAACAGAGCAGCCAGCTAACCAATCAGAGCAGACTGAGCTCTGGTTTCAGACAGAGGGTGAGAAGAGGTGCTGCAGCACAGGGAGTAGGAGAAAAATAAAGAGCTTTTTGAACATTAAGCATGGAGACATGTCACAGTAGAGGCACAGAATACAAATATGAACCTGAAAATGAGCATAATAGGGCCCCTTTAAAAGGTTTATTCTTCCCAACTTCATGCCTTGTCCTTAGAGGTCCATATATGGATGCATTGTGTTGCACTAACTTAATTGTACTATTGTTTCTAACTATCCACATATCTTTCTCTGTGCTGCTGTAGCTAATTTGGGCATCAGCCCATGTAATGTCTTTCTCTGGCATGTACATGTTTATGCACGTAAACACATGTCTGTAGGTACCCCACTAAGCAACAAAACGTGTAGCTTTAGAGTCTTTGTGCCTGTGCGTGGGTTGTAAAGATATTTTCCATTGTTTATAGTTTAGATTAACGTTATCTATATTTATAGAAGCAGGAGACTGTGGCCAGAAACTATTTTTAAGTTACCATTTGTCTTAAGCATTTCTCCTTTCTCCTTTCAGAGGCAGAGGGGGTTACAATACTGATGTGTGAGAGACACCAAGAGAAACTGGAATAAATAAATAGATGAATAAACCGGAAAAGAGAGATAGCTCACCAAGATGCTAATATGCAAAGTTGTGGATCTAATCTTATTGACAGTCAGATGTCAGTGTGTTTATGTGTCTGTGCTAGTTTGTGTACTGCTGACAACAGGTTGGATGGATTTGTTCTTTCCTACGGTTTGGACCGTGTCATTGATATGTTGCAACATACAGTAAACTGGGAGTATTCAGACTAAGCAACATTTTCCACTCAGTCAGTCTTTTCACATTTTCTTTGAAGTGTTTCTGAGATTTCCCTCTGCACACAACTGTTATGAGCTGTTATGTGCATACTTGTGGCTGCTTTTTAGCTCAACACAAAAATCTGAGAAATTCTGCGATGCTGGAACCACCAGCTATATTCTTTTAACATTAAATCCCAGGTTTTTCCCATTGTGGCTTTTAGTCAATAATTGTCTAGACTGCGTATTTTATATGTAGTCTTTGTTTACATGTGACTCACTGTCTGGAGCTGTTTGTGTAAATAGGACGATACTGCTAATAAAGTGAACGCTGCGTATGACTGTTTGCAGTTTGGGGGTGTTGATTGTTGGTCGGGCTGATGCAGTCTCACTGTATTTGATGTGGGATTGATCGGGGGCCAAACATGAAGCCTTTTGGTTGAGACTTTGGTCTCTAAGAACAACTGCTTCCTGTTTCCTGAACCTGGTAAAAGTGTAGGAAATTGTGTGGCATAGCCTGTCTGTGTGTTGTTGTTTTGGATCTCTAGTCTTTTACCCAGATTATTCTCAGTTGTAGGCCGTGCTTTGATATTACGCATAGTCATCATTCAAGTTTTTTCAAAATAAAGTATAATTACCTGTCTATCAAAATTCAAATTCAAAACCTTTATTTATACAGATAAAACCCATTGAGATCATAGACCTCTTTTACAATGGTGACCTGCTTCAATTATATTATATATATATATAGTAGTATTAATTATAAGTGCCTGAGTCCTCTTTCCTGCGGCTGGATGGATTAGTCTTCTAAAGAATAGAAAAGTAAAAGGACAGATACAGCACATGTAATCCAACATTTGTATTATTGATATGCCTCAGAGCTGTCTCACAGCTAGTGGAAACTGAACATTTACTCTTGCTGGTTCACATAAAAAAACATTCAAATAGTAACATATGGAGTGGATTTCATTGTGAAGCAGTCACAGAGAACACATTGGAATTTGCAATGGATGGTTTCTCTTTATTGTTTATCAAAAAAGACGTGGTCAGCATTAACAACAGTAGATTTGCAGCTACAATCATGGCCTCAACACAAAGGGATAAAATGACAATCCGCTTACAGTTTGGATAAATGTACTGAAATCCCATATTCTCTTTCTGATAAACTCTGTTTGACAATTAATATAATTGTTCTCTTTTCTTTTTGTATCATGATTGCCTTTCATCTTTCCCCGCAGTAGTAGGGGGCATGTCATTGGGAAATTACATCCCAATCTCACGTGTAGGAAGCTTTGAAAATACACACAGATCTGCACACAGTCACACACACCGTGTTATACTCTCCCTAATGTCGTCAGAGAGTGATGGGGCACCGTGCTGCCGACAGAAAAAAAGTTGTCTGTTCCATCTCAGGCAAATAACAATAAGCCCGGGGCCGGATTCCAATGGGCTTTCTCTTTGAAATGGGATACCGGCACACGCATTACAAATATATCTCTTGTTTTATCTTCCGGGCCAGGCCCATGGAAAAATTATCCCAAATACCTGCCGCGCTTTATCTGGAACCCTGGAATAGGTTAGGCCCAGCCGGGAACACGAGGATGTCTAAAATAAGGCCTCTATTACGGGATGGAGTGGAGATGGATAGGACGGAGCGGGAAGGGACGGGGATCGGGGGTATTTTAGGTGTATCGGCCCGTGAAAAAGGGCTTGTTGCGGGGGCTTGAAGCTGCTTTAAAGTCTACTATGTGGGCCGCCGTCAGCTGTTGTACAATCTGTGTGTGTGTGTGTGTGTGTGTGTGTGTGTGTGTGTGTGTGTGTGTGTGTGTGTGTGTGTGGTGTGTGTGTGTGTGGTGTGTGTGTGTGTGTGTGTGTGTGGTGTGTGTGTGTGTGTGTGTGTGTGTGTGTGTGTGTGTGTGTGTGTGGTGTGTGTGTGTGTGTGTGTGTGTGTGTGTGTGTGTGTGTGTGTGTGTGTGTGTGTGTGTGTGTGTGTGTGTGTGGCCTAGCATTACTATACTTGTGGGGACCTAAATCTGTTTACACAGTCACGTGTGGGGACTCGCCTCCCTTATGGGGACAAATTGGAGGTCCCCATAAGGGGAATCATTCATTTTAGGGTGAAGACTTGGTTAGGTTTAGGGTTAGGTTTAGGGTTAGGCATGTGTTGGTTATGGTTAAGTTTAGGATAAGTCTCCAGGAAATGCATGTAAGTCAATGTAATGTCCCCTGAAGTGTGTGTGTGTGTGTGTGTGTGTGTGTGTGTGTGTGTGTGTGTGTGTGTGTGTGTGTGTGTGTGTGTGTGTGTGTGTGTGTGTGTGTGTGTGTGTGTGTGTGTGTGTGTGTGTGTGTGTGTGTGTGTGTGTGTGTGTGTGTGTGTGTGTGTGTGTGTTGTGTGTGTGTGTGTGTGTGTGTGTGTGTGTGTGGTGTGTGTGTGTGTGTGTGTGTGTGTGTGTGTGTGTGCTGTGTGTGTGTGTGTGTGTGTGTGTGGTGTGTGTGTGTGTGTGTGTGTGTGTGTGTGTGTGTGTGGGCTCACACGTCCATAGCGGAGCGGGAGTATAAATAACATTTTTCCTACAGATGTTCTCACCTTGACAAATCTGTTCTTGGCCCGTGTGATACTTCTTGGCATATGGCATGATGGACCAACGTAACTCAAACTTTATTTACTTTCCTCAACCTCTCCCTGCCCCTTTTCAAACCATAGCACATTGGCAGCCTGGGGAACGGGGTCTGCCTGAAATGTGTTGGGGTCCCAAGCAGATTTATGATTAAACTCCCTCTAAATCCCCAGACTAGCCTCACAAATAGTCCCACTGATGTATTTGTCAGCACTGTATGCACATACAATGGTCAAAGTATTGGTTTGAGTCCAGTTTATTCACATCTAACCAAAGGTATTGCTACATAGTTCATAGCTACTGGTTCACATGTTTAAAATAATGTGATTCAAACATTCTACTCTGAGCACTGTGTGTATGCTTTTCCAGTATCAGCCTGTTGATATTACAAATCTTACATGACTACTGTCAGTCATCAATGTTGGGTGCTATATTTTTGTTCATAGGTCAGGTTTATCTTTGAATCAAATGAAGGCAAGCTTTGACCTGAAGGCTAAAATTAGCATCCTAATATGCTAACATAATGAGAATGCAACACGCTGATGTTTAGCAGTTATCCATAAATTAGGCAAACGTAATATTTGACTAGATAACAGCGCTAAAGTAAGGGGATAAACAAAGTGTTTACCATTCAACAGAAGGGGAACTTGAGTGTTTGTGCCATATTGTATTTCAATCTATCCAATAGTTGACATTTCATGACGACAGGATAATAAATTAAAGTCAGAATGATTCATGCCCTGTGGGCAAGTAACGATTCATCCAATAATTGTTGAGAAGCAGTATTTCAGTCTGGATCAAAGTGGTGGATGCCATCCATAGAGCTACTGTATGCCACTAGTATATTTAATAAACCTTTCGTCTTGGACCTTTTTCTTTTAAACAACTCCATCATTAAAACAAAGTTCAGTTTAAGGGACCTGCATAGAGATTCCAAATCAGCGCTATGACACACAAACATTGCATGGTCATATTCTAATATGGTTTCTTATCTCTGCCTGCAGGTTGGAGGGATATCGATGGCCGCGCTCCCCGTCAGAGAGGCCAGAAGGAGGCACTTGACCAGCTACTGGGACAGATAAAAGAAGCCCACCGCCACTGTGTCTGCCATGGTATCAACAACTTTTTGATCGATTTGGTGGGCGTGTTAAACTAAAAGACTGAACTGTAATCTGAGCGCTTTAACGGTTTGCATAGCTGACCCCTGGTGAAACCCAAAGCCTCAAACCTGGTAGTGATAGTGACTTGATGTACTCTACATATGAGCACATGTTAAACCAGACGTTTAAAACTGGTTTAACTTTGGAATTACATTCAGGAAATTCTTGAACGTACACTTGAAACTACGCAACGTTAAGATCAGATTTTATTTCTGGTGTCGGTTGAATTAAAGTAGCAGAAGTGAAATTGCTCCGAGCTTCTGACATTAAACTGAGCGTCTGTCCTTTTCAGTACGCCCGTCAGCTTTTAAACAAACACATCTGAACTTTAAGCAACCGTCTAGTTCAGGTTTCATAAATATTCTCGGTGTAAACAAACACGAAGGTGAGCAATGGACGGTTGAACGTGCAGGTGTAACCCGTCTCACCAATTTCTGTGTTTCATCTCACCTTGACAGACACTTTACAATCTCAGGCACGACAAGTACTTTGGGGGGCCATTCACCCTAAGACGGCATGCCACCTCAAAAATAATACCCTCCCCTCTGTCTCAACCGACCCCACACCCCCCTACTTTTACATCTTTCCATGACTCAGCCCTTCCTCCTTCTGAATACCTCTCTCTCTGTGACAAAATGCAGCTTCTCTCACACTCAGGCTGTTTATATCCCCAAACACTGCAGGCTGTAAGCTGCTCCCATAAGTGTCAGAACCTGTCCACACTGACTCTTTTACATGACGGCAAACTGCATTTAGCGTTGAGCAAGATGTCTCTCTTTTTTTCTAGCAATCCCACACGCCCAAACACACTCGCCCACTTACTATTGTCCACTGTGGCCAGACCGTATTTGCAATAAGGCGAGACGCAATATAATAGTCAGTATTGAGTGGCTCTTGGTTCTTCAGACGGCGACTGATTGAGCTCCAGAGTTCAGGCACGGTAGCCGAGGTGGCGTGTCCCGGGTCATGTTTGTTATTCCTGTAAGAGACGAGTCCGAGGCTGGAGTCGGGAGAGGGCATAAATTAACACTGACTACTGCTGCCCCCCCACCTCCACCTCAACCCCCCCGCAGCCCGCCTAGTCGCCCTGTCTACTGTCCATACATATACACACATAAAGATAGACAGGCACGCACAGATACACATGTACATGAAACAGACACAAATATTCACTTTCTCTTTCAGTGCCGACTCTCTCGCACATGTCCATGTACGCACCCCCCCATCGCAGCGCGGCTCACGGCCCACGCCACATTCTCCCTCTTGTCCAAACACTATTAATTAAACTGTGAAAGAGGCCTTGACTAACACAGGTACCCCAGCAGTCAGCCCTACTTGTCTGTCTTACTCAGTGTCAAACACGGACTGAGGCCAGCGGGACCAGAGCCGAACAGACTCGCGAGTAAAAGAGAAATTTGGGGAGGTGAGAGGGGTCGAGGGGCGCTGTTTTTTCTCGTTACTCCACCTCGACTCGTGCACCTGAAGAGAAAATTAGTTATTTTCGGGTCCTGAATGGGGGGATTTATTGACTTTAAGTGGCCTGGGGCTGGAGTACGATCACCTGGGAGGGGAGGAGAGGGAATCTGTGGAGGGTTTGGGACTCAGGGTTTCTAATGAGTTGGGAGGCGCGTTATCTCACCAATAGGCGCCCACACAAACACACACATACATACACACACACACCTCCCTCTCTCGCCTCCAACCCCCTCCAGGCCCACTAAAAATAAACATGTCCCCACAGACTTAACTGACCTCCCTGTCAGTGAGTGGCAAAGGGTTAAGACACACAGACACACACACACACACACAAATTACTACAGCTCCTTGGCTCCACTCACATGGCTGTAGCTCAATACTCGCCATGCTCCAGCAGCTTTAGTATGTGCAGGTAAACACACACACACATACATATACACACAGTTAGTGTCCCTCAGGGACCGGAGGGCTAGTAGTTCCCTAAAGGCCCATAGTCTGCTGCTGGCAGCCAGCATGACTGTCAAATGGTGCCGCGCCACTGGAGCGCATGAAATGTCCAAAAACATTCCACTCCGGCCGTGTTGTTGGACCTGTCAAGTTTGTTGTCAGTTAGGTAACGGCCTGTCACCGGGAGAGATGTTTCTAAAGTTTGTCAGGACAGAGGTATTCATTGGTGTTAGCAAGAAAATGAGACAACCAATCAGAGTAATGCCCCAGCTTCTCACACGTGCCACGACTTAAAGGACAAGGCAAGAGCATCAGAATCCTCATTGAAGTAATCTGACTAACTTATTCTGTTTATTTGGAATGAATGTTGTCCTTTTCTTGTCAATGCAGAACAGTGCAAAGCTCCACAACAAGGGAGGAAGCACTCAGTTTCCAAAAGCCTGCGCCACCTCTTCCAACCTACCAGCAAATTTGTTAAAAGCTTGAAAAGGTAGATATGAAAATAATTGACTTCCATGTTGTAGACTTTTAATATCAAAGGAATTGTATGTCATGTGTTTGTTTGAAATGTAGTGTTTAATTTGTCAAATTACATATATATATTTTCATTATGGTGTGAAGGTATTATATTCATTATTGATTGTTAAATATACACAACAAGGCAAAATAACAGTAATTGTTTGGTACATTGTAATTGAAATGTAAGAAGAAGAGTTATGCAACGTCTCACTTTTACAATGAATGTTTTATACTAACACATGTACTATGTTACTTTTCAGGGGTCTGTACCTGACATCCATACTCTACAGAGATGATAATGTGCTAGTGACTCCAGAGGACCAGATTCCTATCGTGGAGGTGGAAGATTCCTACTCCAGCTCCCTCATGCAGGACTTCCTCTGGTTTACCAAGGTAGAAAAAACAGACAAAAAGACAGAGAAATAGAGAAAGGAACACAAAACATCAACTTTAATAATTGCTCAAACAAGTGATGGACCACTGTAACGCATTTATAACCCTCATAATCCTATATTTGAACACATGATAACATTTCCCATTGGTTGTTAATACTAATACTAAAATAATCAATGTATGTGTCCATCTCATGTTCCAGGTATCGTATCTATGGGAGGAGATTCCCTGGCTGCAGCAGTGTCTCAGTCCTTCGCAGTCTTCTTGTTCCTGCACTCTCCAGACGCGCCTCAAGATGCTGCAGGCTGTCTCACAACTACAGGTACCACAGACTATAGAGCTACTGTTTTAGAATTAAAATATGACCCCGTGGTTTGTAAAGGTTGATAGTGGCTACACCCATTCTATCCTTTCCTCCCTATGCTCTAAAAAAGGATAACAATGCTAAATAGCAATACAATTATTGGATTGGTATTTAGGGGAGGGAGGGGAGGATTTATTTATTTTATTTATTTTATTTATTTTATTTATTATTTATTTATTTATTTATTTATTTATTGTATTGTCATTGGATTATTTTATTTATGTTATTTAGTGTTATGGTATTTTAGTTATTTAGTAGTTTATTTTATGTATTTAATTTAGTTATGATTATTTTATTTATTTTATTTATTTTATTTATTTTATTTATTTTATTTATTTTATTTATTTTATTTATTTTATTTATTTTATTTATTTTATTTATTTTTTTATAATTAAAATATCCCCTCAGATTATTTGTTAAGAACTTTACATGCAGCAAAATATAAAATGTTCAAGGAGGTAAAATGTATGATAATAAAAATAAAATAAATAATGGTTTCTCTCTAACTGAATCGATGCAACAATATAAAATATAAAACCCCATAAAACAAAGTGAACATAGGTACAAAAGAAATACAAATAAAAAGATAATAGTAATAAAAATACCATAATTCGAATAAAGGTTAAAGGATTTAGAAATAAATAAAAAAGACCAACGTAAAAAGAAATATTGCTATTGAAGCATGTTAGATCAATAAAATAAGATATAAGATTGTCTGATGTCTTTCCTCAGGGAATGCTGGGAACCCAGGACCTCGGTCAGGTGTATTTTGAGCCAATCAAAGACAAGCATGGTAACGCCCTGCTGGTGCTGCTGAAGGACATGAGTTCCTCTCCTAACCTGGATGGGGTTCGCTGGACGCAGCTCTGCAAACTCCAGCTCCAACGCAAGTCCATCTCGTCCCCCGAGGAGCCCAGCGCTCTGGACATGCTTCTCATCACGCTCCATGTGAGTCCTGCAGGAAGAGACGCGCAGCCATTGGTTTCTGCTTTTGTTTTGGAGACAGGCTGCTGGAATGGGTTTGTCAGCAGCGGTTGTGGTTTCTATCAGGCTCATTCTTTGCATTTTTTTGTGTCCCAAAAACGCTGGAAAACATTCATCTATTGGTATCGCTTTAATGTTTGTTTAACTCTCATTCGCGGAGAACCAGTAAACATGAGGCCAAACCAATAGGACTGTTATTTACAATGTGCTTCCAATTATGAGTGCTGCTTATGTAGACACTCTTTATTTGGACAAAGATTAATCATCATGACTCCCCTTTTCCATTTGTCACCTTCTTTGTGAAGACACATATTGAATAAGCTTGCCAACAAATAAATTAAAAGTCAAATCTTTAATCCATGCCCACCCGGCACGAATGTTAATCATCTCAGTCACTTTATCTTTAAAAGCTGCTCATTCAGGCAGTGGAAATTGGAAAGTGACATTTGAATTTCAGCATTGTGGGCTGATGGTAATCTTTCTAATTGTTGTTGTTTTGTGTTCTGTAACAAATGCTTTGTGGCTGTTTTGTTCAGAGCAACCACAATCTGGAACCTAACCACAAGTTGATTTTGTCTATGTAGCCCGATAAACTTGATACCATTGTTGCAGTGCCGTTTTGTCTCCAGTGTGAGTTGGTTTGTCCTTGTGGTTAGAATACAATGGTGGAGACACCCCCTGGTAAAACCACATTTCACTGAAATATTTGTTTTGTGGCCAGTTATGAACAAATTGTATGATGAGATACATAAAAATGTGCTGGTGGGCTATTCTGCCGTGCTGACTTCCACTTGGTCAGAAACAACTTTAGACTGAAGCCTTTTAAACAGTAACAACAGCAAAGCATAAAAATACATAATTTAGTTGAATGTGAGGTTATTTAAAGAGACACAATTAGAATCTGTATCCCCACACAATCGTACCATCCTCTCACTCACTCACTCACTCACTCACTCTCCACCTGCTGTCCCCAGGAGAAGCTGGCTTATCACAGGCGGAGCAGGAAGGTGTTGGCCCCCGGATTATACCTGGGCTACCTGAAGCTGTGTACCTCAGTGGAGCAGATCAGAGTGCTGGTGCCTCAGAAGCTCCCCAACGTCCTCTGTCACACCAAAATTCGGGACAACAGCAACGTGTCCAGGTGGGGATCATACTGTGTGCCATTCTAAGGAATCCTCCAAATGTGTATGTCAATTACTAAACCAGTGTAAGGGTTAGGAACTGTTTCAAACAGTCAAGTTATTGGGGAATGCTGGTGTTTGGGAAGTAGTAACCACACGACTGGTTCAATGAGACTTTGATGACACTGCAGGAGTTGTGATGGAGTTTGTAAACAGATGATTAGTTAACGTTTTGCTGCTGTTTAACGCAGCCCACATTTACTTAAATGTCTCTGTTTATTGATTCTTCATTTACCATGAAGGCATGCAAGAAAAACAAAGTTGTCTTCAAGAATTCAAGCTAACATGGGTTGAGTAATTGATATACAAATGATGATTTTGTGGGTGAAGTATTCCTATAATGTGGGTTTTGGATGAGTTTTGACCAGATAGCTGAATATACATGCAACACAATGACTGATATATAGTGTGTGTGTGTGGTGTGTGTGTGTGTGTGTGTGTGTGTGTGTGTGTGTGTGTGTGTGTGTGTGTGTGTGTGTGTGTGTGTGTGTGTGTGTGTGTGTGTGTGTGTGTGTGTGTGTGTGTGTGTGTGTGTGTGTGTGTGTGTGTGGTGTGTGTGTGTGTGTGTGTGTGTGTGTGTGTGTGTGTGTGTGTGTGTGTGTGTGTGTGTGTGTTGTGTGTGTGTGTGTGTGTGTGTGTGTGTGTGTGTGTGTGTGTGTGTGTGTGTGTAGAGAGGAGTGGCAGTGGCTGCAGGCTCTCAGCTCTCTGGAGGAAGCGATTGAAATGGATAATGAAGAGCAGAGCGCTCCTCATCGCCTCTTACAGGACCTGCGCAGCGCCATCAAGGACCTGATGGCGCACATCAATATCCCAGGCAATCAGGTCAGAGTCAATCTGAAGCTGTGAATCTTTATCCAACAACATAATGATCTTCTGCAGTTAGATTCCCAGACTTTACCAAATGCTAAAAATGTGTTTTTGTGTGAACTGGTTTTGTCTGATTTCATGGAACCAGTTTAACTCCTCGAATTACTTCCAGCCAAGTCACAGAGGCAGGAACTCAAAGCCATGGATATGATCCCAATGGATATCCAGCCAGTTCTGGTTAGACCACTAATTCTACATGATTTCTGTAAAAGAACATGGTTCGAATTCCAGCACAATGGCAATCATTGTCCGATTGACTTTAACCTTTCACCACCCACTGTTCCTACTGGCAGAAAGGACTTCACACACTTCCACGGCTGTACCATAAAAGATTGAATGAATGTGAACATGAATATATATATGTACCATAGATTACTGAAGGGATGGATGTTTCAAAATAGTTTTAAAAACAACAAACATTGCTTTATTAGTACGATTGTTTTACACTTGACCTTCTTAAAAAAAAGCCCAACAGTGTATTAGCGATATGCAATACCCCCTTATTACAGCAAACCATGCAGTTGCTGTATTTCTTCAAATCGAGTCTGGTTCTACTTTCTGGATACTTAAGCTAAAACAATGTAGTTCATGGTGGCCTCTCTGCATGTGATCCATACCAGGGACTTCTCCTTTACTTCTATCTTTCAAATAAAACCTGTAATGACCTTAAAAATGTATGAATTTACAATATAAAAGGGAGCTGTCTGCGGGGTCTTAAAAAGTATTAAAAGTTGATGAATCAATTTAGCGAAAATTAAGGCTATTAAAAAGTATTTAACGGCATTTTCCAAGGTATTACATTTTGTAGCTTGTTTTCAATAAGTATATAAATGGTCCAAAGAGGTTGTATTCTACAGTCTGCCTGAATGTAATCATTGCGTAGGTGTGTAGTGTGATTCTGTGTAGTTTATTGATGGCATCCCGTTGGGTTTGACGTCATCTGAACAGGACATCGCACGCTCACTGCTTGATAGCGCGCGAAGGTCCGTTTACGCCGGTTGCTAAACAACATCGTTATGGGGAAATGCAAGTTTGCGTCCAAATGGTTGGAAGATAAGGAGGAAGGACAATCAATACTGTATATAGTCAATGTGAGGTAACGTGTGTCACCAATGTAACCGGTTAAAACTCAAAGTGGCGATGAGGTCTTAAAATGTATGGAAAGGGTCTTAAAAGGTATGACATTTGACTTCAGGATTCCTGCATATACCCTGGTTCAGCAAAATGATCTTTATCAAGTTAATATTGAAGAAATAGGACGTTGCATACACATTCCAATACACCTGTGTGTCTGTGCGTGCAGGTGCAGGAATTCCGTATCTACAGCCAGGAAGTGGTGGAGTTTGGTGAGAAAGTGTCCTTCCTGCTCCTCCTGCCACCTTCAGATGAAGTGTGCACAGCTCCTGGTCAGAACAACCCGTACTCCCCCCGCTCCGGCTTCCTCACGCTGCCCCTCCAGGTCTTTGAACTGGGTCAGTATAGCAGATTTTTTGTCAGAAATAAGAAATTTGACACCAACTGCTGCTTCCAAATCTATATGCTCCCGTATTTACTGACACATCGTTTTACATTCCTTTTTCTTCCTGTTGGATTCCCTTTTCCTCCCACAGTCCACTTTAATGCTTATTGCCCCAGTTTCATCGGCCAGTACTGCAGAGTGTCTGCGTTGCTGGAGCTGGAGTCCCTCATGTCCCAGCAGGCCCTAAGGGAGGCCTTCTCTGAGACTGAGCTGCTTTCTGCCAAGAAGAAACACCAGCAGGTCCAGGAACACATTCAGGTAACACAGCTGGAATTTAAAAACGTTTTACACAGCTGCACCTTTTGTTATGTACTAATATTTGTCTTGGAGATCGATATTTGTTACTGAGCTGAGCTACTATGGTCTTGTTGAACAGGAAATGGAGGAAGTGTGGCGGGATGCGAGGTGGATCATGGATGCTCTGCAGTACGCTCGCTACAAGCAGCCAACAGGGGGCATCTCCATAAGTTGGATCATTGACTTCTCCAAGGAAGTGCTCCCTGAGAAACCTCCCTCCACCTCCTCTCAGGCCGACTTCCTGCCCTCCCCGATGCCTTCACCCGAACCCTGCCTCAAGCACTCAGGTCAGAATCCACATCTGGCAACAAAAACATTTAGAATTGTGCGGTAATATGATAGTGTTATTAATATAGGATGTTATTCAAATCCAAAGGTTTTATTGTCATATGCACCTAAGCTACAGTGTAGAAATGGAATTCTTCTGACCTGAGCTCCTCCAACAATGCAACATATATAACAAAATACAAAAATACAAAATAAAAAGTAGTGCAAAAAGTCTATATAAATGTCAATAGGGTTATGTAGAAGAACAGAATATGAAATTAAATAATGTAAATTAAAACAAAATGAAATACGGTTTATTGCGGTTAAAAACAAACAGGAATGTTTATCGGGGCACTTAACAGAGCTCAAGTGTTTAGCAGTCTTATGGCCTGTGGGTTAGAACTGTCCCTGAGTCATTGATTCTGACTCAACACAATATGAATATTTCTCCCATTTTGCAGATTTTGCTGGTCTATCAGATGAAGAGGGCTCCTCCGAGGTCTTCCTCACCACCGACAGTGACTACGACTCCAGCCGTGCTCAGAGTCCCCGGGAGCTGGACCTGCTGCCGGCCTCCCCGCTCTCCTCCTCCGCGCCGCTGGAGCCTCGCGGGTTCCTGCGTAGCGACGGCAGCAGCTCAGGAGGCGGGGGGTGTCTCGGCGGGGGGGGACGGGGCAGTGGGGCGCTGAGAGACTCCACTCCAGACGTCCTTCAGGCCTCCGAGCCGCAGCACGGGAGGGACGGCGAGCGGTGCGGACGAGGAGGGCGTTGTGGCGGGGAGAGGCGGAGGGGCGGCCCCGAGCTGTTCGACAGCGACTTCATCCTGCCCAGCCGGCAGATCGAGCTGCTGCACATCACAGAGAAGAGGCAGGCCTTCTGTGTGAGGACCAGCAGCCTGGAGTTCCCCTCCGCCCACCTGCCTTACTCCTACCACAGCTCCTGCCCCTCACCCTCCACCTCGCCGCATAGGAGATGTCACCGGCCATCGTCTGTGGATCGCTGTTGCCCGGCTGAGCGCTGCCTCCCACATCTTCCACCGGCGCGTACGTTATCGCAAGACAGCGGCACGCAGAGACTCTCCTCGCTGTCGCCGGCCTCCCTCAGGAAAGGCTGCCACGCCACGCTCAAAGTTTACCCGCAGTATCACACAGGCCTGCCCAAGGAGACCAGTGTTAAGGTATATTTGTGTTGGGGCTGGGTGATAAGAAGATTATCATAGATAACAATATTTATGACCAAATACCTTGGTATCTTTAGGATATTGTAGAGTTGAAGATTGATTATTTCACAAAGTATTCACGCACTGACTACTGGAACAGTCAGGTAAATTCACTTTACTGTAAACAAGCTTTTAAAACCAGGAAACTCTTACAATATCCAAGATATCCACTTACATTTTGGATATTGTAAGAGTTTCCTGGTTTAAAAGCTCGTTTACAGTAAAGTAAAGTGATGTAGCCGTTTACCAATCGGTTGGTTGGAGGTTCAATCCTTTGGCAAGATAGTTTACCCAAGTTGCTCACGATGGGATGGCCATGGGCCTTAAGCAATTGGCCCCTTGTATGGCACTTCTGCCTCTGTATGAATGGGTGTGAATGCTGCTGAGTTGTATAGGTAAAGGTGCTTTGAGGAAAAAGGCGCTATTTGGGGCGGTTTTGGCGCAGTGGTTAGAGCGTTGGTCATCAGATCAAGGGGCGTTGGTGAACTCCAGTTCGAATCCCGCCTCGGCCGCCACTGCGTCAGGCCGTTGTGTCCTTGGGCAAGACACTTCACCCGCATTTGCTCCTGTGGGTAATGTCCGCAGTACAGTACTCTTACATGTCTAATATGTGTAATGTGTAATTGTAAAGCGCTTTGAGCACCTGTAAAAGCGCTCTAATAAAAAATGTAATGCCTTATTATTATTATTATTATTTAAATGAACTCTATTCACCATATATTTCACAATACAATATATCATCTTGATATAGTCTGACGCGCTGAATGATATCTTTCCTTCCTGTGTTCCAGCTCTGTGTGACTCCAGGGACGTCGGCGCGGGAGATGGTGCAGCTGGTGGTGCAGGAGATGAACGTGGTGTCGCGGCGCATGCTCGGCAGCAGCGGGGGGGAACAGGAGCCGTGTGTGTACTACAGCCCCGAACAGATAAAGCACTTTGGCCTCGTGCTGGTGGTGGACAACAGAGAAAAGTGGCTTCAGGATGATTTCTGTCCCCTGGAGCTGCAGAACCCCTGGCTGAGGGGAAAACTGTGCGTCCGTATAAAGGAGTATTCACCACTAGCGCTCACACAAAGCCGGGCCACTACAGTCTGACACTTCCAGGAGAGAGACACTCAAGACCTTTACATTCTCTTGGGATAAATGTGTATAAAAATGAAGGAACTGTTACATTTGTACAAACAGGCCTACGATATTTTGTCCCACTGTGGTGTAATCATCCACAACTGCAGCTATAATATGTCATACTACTGCTGTGTGCTTGTCATCGGAGAAGTTTCTATGGAACTTTTTCTCAAAGACCCTCGTATGGACACCAAATGAACAATAACAAAATAGTTTCAGCGCTGTCGAGGATCATTTGGGAAAAGATAGTGATGGCGAACGAGATTAATGGAGCGTCACTTTGACTTCTGGCACGATTGACGACGGCACATCGAGGCGTTGCCAACAGAAGATGGTGCGGTGTCATCGTTGCAGCCACACGCGGACACAGATTTTTCTATGAACTCTCTCATTGTGTCATTCCCAAAGAGCTGTCGCCTGCAGCCGCCCGGCAACATGTCCCCAGGATGTGGGCGTTGGACCCGGCCCAGAGGGGGGGGGAGGGGCTGGCGTCTTAAACAGTGCGAACGCTTTGGCCCGTCAGCCTGTCACTCAACTGCTTTTGGCCACTGTCTGGTAGCAAAGCAGCCAAGCAATGAAAAGTGAGCTTGATGAAGAGTGAGAGAGGAGGAGGAGGAGGGCCGACGCTGCATCTTTCAGAAACCTGGCGCGCTTCTTCTCGCAGCCCTCTGTATAGTAGACTCAGTCGTAGTGTAGCTAACACTAAACCAGCTCATTTGGATTTCCACCCCAGACAAAACAAAAGCAATACTTGACTCTTTTTTGTTTTTTTCTAATAGATGGGTCGAAAAAAAAGCATGTAAACCTTCCAGAGTTGTGCTGATCTGAAGTACTGTAGTTCATGCTGTGCTAAAAGTTAACCAGTGTAGTGTTTTTGTTGTGTTTGGTTCAGTGGTATTCCCAGATGCATCAGAAAGCGGTGCCCACCAGTCTAGAGCAGCGTCTCCCAGAGGGATTCTATTGTGAAAAGGGATGACTCTAGTTGTTAAGAGGCCCCGTGTTTGTTAGCAGAGTAACATATCGTATATTTATATTCCCAAAACACTGATGCAGGCATTGCACTTTTGGGGCAAAACACTAAATCTAACTAACACAATAAATAAGGCCTCTTAACACTCCTTACCTTCCTTTTTAGATATTTGTTGGGAACCTGTGCCAAGTTTGAATTCCTCTCCTCATTTAAAACCGTTTACATCGAACTCAACATCCCTAACTGCAGGCTGTTGTGTTTTATTTATTGTTTATCAACTGTTTTTAAGCATAAGATCAAAACTTTTCTCTCACCACCGGCTAAGCAACATCACACCGTTATAAGAACCTGCATCATTTCCAAATGTAGCACCAGAAAGGTCCAGGAGAGGAGCGTTTGGACCTGGCCTCAGTCACTGTAGCATTCCAGGTTCCTGTCGCAGGGGGCGTCTCAAAGTGTTTACACAGTTTCCTTACACTTTCCAAGATGTGTTTACGTGTAACTACTGTATAAAGATGTCTTGTGACAAACCGATGTTATAAATTGTAATTGGTTTTACTAAAAATGGCTTGAACTGTTGTGTTAACGCTTAGATGTCTTCTTTATTCTCGTTGTGAAAGGCGGTTTTTATAAGGACCAACTGCAAACAACAAATCACACAACCAGAAAGCAAACCTTTGTACATAGACAGAGGAAGACCAGGAGATGAATGTACTGTATCTGCCCTAAATGTGAAAGGAAGTGAATGTGGGGCTGTCATCACTACTGAGGTCAAAGGTCAGTGAAGTTAGCGTCTGTCTTGAGATGAAGCTGAGGGGAGGGGGGGGGGGGTTGAATTCCCTCTCCGGTTGAGAAATAAAGTTTAGCCCCATGTTTACAAGGAGCTGTTGGCAGACCCCGCGGGCGAAGTCACGAAGGAGACATCACGTCACTTTTTTAAAATCTATTTTTATTGAACAATAAATGAATATAACAAAATAAAAGCCTTGCTTGTTTATGAGGGTTTCTTCTCTTTTAACAGATCGCCGCACACGAGTGTAGGAAGTTTCTAACCTTCATGTGAGTAATAACAACATTTATGACATGATTCTGACCTATTTACACTTCCTGTTTGAGAGATGTCGCACTTAACGCTCTACGTGTCTCAGTTTGAGAGAATTCCACCAAACTAAACAGTATGTTTTGCCTGATCAGACATAGAGAGCATAACAATCTTACATTTCACATTTTATTTTCTTCTGGGCTTATTCTCTTAGTTCAAATGTCATCAACACGTATGATACCCTCCCAAAAGCTGCTCATTCATCTGATATGAAGCAGAGTACATGACAAATAGAGGGCACTTGTTCTTACAGATGCTATATTGCAATGACCTCATCAGTGTTTGTCACCCAGTTGATGAAAAGTGAATGGAGGGCAGCTGCAGACAGAATTCAGTGTGAGGGGTGGGCACTGCAGCGAGGGATGAACAATGATGTTACTATTGCGTACGGTGATGGAGTGTTTTTTTTCTAACAGGTTTGAATAGAGTTTAGTCTAAACATTAGGAAAATACTTGACATAATGACATCCCCTGCACCAGTTTCAGGGTGATGTGCATTACCGCGTTACGTTCTCAATGCGCTACTGTGGAGATGAGATGTGTTCCTAGACTTAACTTAAATATCTAGATGCTTTTTTATTTTAGGATAATAATATAGAGTTTCCAGTGCCGTTATCCTCATCAAATAGTAACAGTATGATGCTGTTCATGCAGAGGGGAAAGAACCTGAGATCTGTAACCTTGAAAATACTCTGTTACATGTAAAAGTCTTGCATTCAAATTTAACCAAAGTACCAAAAGTCTCATAATCGCTCTTTTCAGAGTTGTATCTATTAAATTAGTGATAGCTGACAAACTGAATCTTAAAAGTAGCTTAAGCTGTCAGATACATGTCGTGCAGTCAAAATACTGGCTTCTATATATAGTGAAGTAAAATGATAAATCAGCATACATTTAAACTACTCAGGTAAAGTACACCTGCAAATTGTACTTAAGTACAGTACTGTATTCTATTCCACCACTGTATTCATGAAGTTGAATGAACAATAAGCGGCAGACTGTTTATAGTGAAAGTGTACTTCTTTACTCAAAGACAATGAAATAGATTATTTCCATAACAGAACTAGAAACTATTAATGTATCCTTGGCAAAAGGGGGATTCCACCCCTTAAACTGACTGATACAAAATGCTTGTTTTTTGCAAATTTGCTGAAATATTAACTTAAAGATGTCGAAGAATTTTAACTTTGAACCGAAAAACCTGAATCCAAACTTGTTCTTGGAAATCTTCACCTCTAACTAAACGCCTGTTTGGTCTGTTTTAAAGAAAGCAATCAAACCCTTAGATAACTATCAGTGTTTTCTTTTGACTTCACCAAGTCGTGACATCACTGCAGCAAGGCAACCGATGAAGGCGTTCGTTTCCATAAAGATGAACCTATGACTTTCTTTAATGTCAGAATGAATGAATCTACAAAAGAGAAAGGCTCTCTGCCAAGGCTGTTCCCGTGAGTGAAAGCTAATGCGTGTATCTACCCCATTAATCAGATCCCCAATACAGTCTTTTACAAAGTTTCATTAAAATCAGGCCACTGGTTTTTCGGTATTCCTGCTGACAAACAGACAAACAAACCAACAAACCGAACCAAAACCATAACCTCCTTGGTGGAGGTCAATATTGACAAAAAAATGTCTCAACAAGCACCGCTTTTAGACATTTCTGGTATTACATTCCAGTAGAACTGTTGAACTTTAACGTAAAAAACAAACACTTTATAAATAAAACGTGATTCATGCCACAGCTTGTTTACTTATGCATCTGTTTACATACATATTTACTGCGGAAGGCTAGATGCTCACTTGTATAAAGACAGTTTTTTTAATCGTAGACGTAATGAAACTAAACAACCTTTTCGCTATATGCTTTAATAACCTTTATAATGATGTGTGATTACACAGTTCGTTAATACGTTTGAGTTTAATCGTGATCCCAGGCTTACATTCGGTCTGGCCAGCTTGCTTTCAGCAGGCTCATATCACAGCGCTCTCTTGCTAGCGCCATGTGTTTTTTCAGCCCTTGAGCAAATAAAATGCTGCATGCTTCGCTGTCAACAGATCCTACAAACACTAATGTGTGGATGGACGCACAAACACACATTGGTGCACACAAGCGGCATGCACTCAGGAATCTTGATATTCCGATGTGCAAATGCGTTTGTATACCATGTTGAGGATTTACACTTTTGTACTATTACAGGACAAACTGACACACACTTCCCCGAGCAGCTTATCACACACAAATCATGGCATAATGCGTCCATGCCGACACGCTACGGCTTTAAGAGCAGCCCTTTACCGTTTATTGACAGTAACTTAAGAATTGTACTGGAATTCTGACACCTCCTAATTTTAAACCTTCTGACTCCAGGAGGACCCGAGCTAAATATAAACCCTGGCATATATCTGAATACCTATAAAGAAAGCATTCCCAAAACACCCTGAATAGTGGCTATTCATGCTCATAAAAGAGACCCAAGGGGAGCGAGCAGGCACAGCGACTCGTGACTCATCCAAATATCCGCCGTGACAAAAAGAAGTTTTGCATCTTGGAGAATTATTAGATAGGGGGTTTCGTCAGCACCTCTCCTGGCAGCGAAGTCGGATCAGAGGCTTCCCAAAACTGGAACAGGAAGAGTCTAGTTGCATATGAGGCCGTGCTCCAGTGTGTGTGCAGCTGAAGCGATCCGCCTGCAAAACAGCCACCAATGCATCTTGAGAGTGAGATCTCCTCCATCTCAGAGTGCCCCACCTTCATGCTCTTCAACTTGACCCTTCCTGAGGTCATTTGGGATCATGGGCCAAGGGGAGGGTCCCCCACAACGGGCACACTTATCCGACATGTGTAACTTTGGATTGAGCCTAAACATGAAATTCTGGATACAGACTTTCAGGAAAATGACGTGACCCCTACACTATGGACACCGACTGATCACCTGTTCCTCTCCCTCTCATCCATCTCCCCACCCTGCCTCCTCTCAGCCGATTTCAGCCGGGCACTTACTGGCGGATTAGCGGCGGTGTACATGTATGTCTACACTGGCATGTGTGTGTTTCTGTAAACGTGTGTGTGTGCAGTGGGTGGGAAAAGTGAAGCCTGCCACTACTGCATCACTCATTTCTCTCCCTCTCTCTCATTCTCTCTCTCCCTCCCTCCCTCCCCAGGGCCCATAAACCTTTAAAGCACCTATAAAACACTTGGCGAGGCCTTTTTGAAGTTTTTATGAAGATCTGGCTTTATTGTTCCCAAGAGATGAGCCCCACTCCGCTGGCGCCTCGGAGCTTTCTGGAAGTGCCAGTGAATTCAGGGGGGGGGGGGGCGGGTGGTAGCAATGGAGGGAGTCCCGGGGAAAGAAGGGCACTGTGGAGCCTGTGTTTTTTTGCCCCCTGTACATGTGCATATCTGTGTGTATCTGCACGTGTCAGGGGGACAGATGAGCTACAGATGCAGTTTGAACGGTAACAGTGACAACTTTATCTCTGAGGTGATGACTTTATGTCCTTGAGGTAGATTTAAGACAATCAAAATACAAGTTGAGAAAGTTCTAATAAAAGCACATGTGTGTGTGAACAGGCATGTGTTGCAGCATGTGTGTGTCTGCGTAATGCCTGCGTATGCGCTCGTAGACGATGGGGCCAGCAGGTTGCGTCCTTGTTGTTTGAAGTGGGGCTCTGTTGTTCTCATGGAGCTAAATGAATGGAGCCGGACCCCCCTCCATCTGTCTGATCCAGCGGCACCGGCCCTCCCTCCCAAATCCCGGCTCCGACGCATCGGCCCCCTCAAAGGAACAGTTGGCAAACGGACAGCCCATTAAACAGGCGAGGGCGACGGGCCCTCACCTCTAAGCAACACTTGTTAGAGCAGAGAGAGTGTGACACAGGCAGAGAGAGGAGATCAAGAAATGGGTGTGTGAGGAATCCATATATTGTTTGTGTGAATGTATCTGTTAAGTGGAAAACTGAGTGTTTTTTGAAGGAGTACTTCACCCACAAATTGACCATTGTTACATCAATTACTCACCTTGAAGACTTGAAGAAAATGGAAGTACAATATTGATGAATGTAAAGAAATATGGCTGCGTTTAACAGCAACAACACTATACTGTATAGAGATAAATGTGTGTGTGTGTGTGTGTGTGGGGTTGAGTGGGTTTTATGAGTGACAGTTACAACTCAGTGGCCATGACATTGGTGTCTTTCACCCTCAACAACCCCCATTGTCACAAAGGTTTCCATTTCAACCTTCTAATCAAGACACTGACAGGAACATTTGTAAACTTTTTAAATGTCATCTCCTCATTTGAATGGGATCTGATTGAATCCCTTGTTTGTGCTTCTATTGCAGCTGTCCATTGCTTGTTTGGTCTGCACATGTTATGTACCACAGGAACATGAATCATTAACAAGTCATCTGCATAGAAAGGGCTCTCCACTGGATGAATGCTTTCTGATGGGGGCCTATGTACAGTATGTGTGGTACCTCCAGTAAACCATCAACAGGGCCACATGAAATAGAAAGAGGTTAAACAGAACCCATAACCTCAGCCGCCGATGCAACCACTCACACAAGTTCTGATGAACCCCTCTGATTTGTTTGAAAGTGCTCCAGACTTCCCTCACCCACCCTTTGTTGTGAATTGTGGGGAAAACAACAGCTTGGGTGTGCAGGGAAATCTGGGTGCATGCAGAGGAGCCAGGGGTTCGGTCCGAAGAGAGCCTACATTGATTGCCAAAAATGAAAAATCTAAGACGCAGACAAAGATGAGAGAAGGACGGGCCAGCCGAGGGTATTCGGTGTTCGGCTCTGCGCCTGGCAAACAACCTGAAAGCAATTTATTTTCTTTCCCCAGACTTTTAGGATCAAATCCATGTTAGTTATTCACA